CCCGCCTTGGCACTGGAGATGTGAATATAGCTTGCCGCCGATAAACTCGGAGCAGGTCCTTGTGGCTGCCAAGTCGTTTCCCCCAGGCACGGGCATGGGGTGGGATTCCTTTCGCCCCCAGCTCCTTCTTCAGGTCTCCCCCGCGCTCGTCCAGGCCTTTGCCGATATCCTCACGGCCTGGGAACGGGCCCCCCCTGTGGGCCCGTTGTGGCTCGTCGTGGTTGCGTTTCTTGCGAAACCGTCTGGGGGGGGGGGGGGTAAGGCCTATCGGCCTCCTTCCCGTCTGGGCCCGAGTGTGGAGCAGGATTCGGCATGCCAGTTGCGCGGCGTGGGAAAGGGAGCTGGACGCGCCCTTTTTCTGGGGTTTGAGCACGTCCACTGCATGCGACAAGAGCGCATGGGTTCACAATGCTATGGCTGCTTTTGCTCGGGAAACTCGGGGTTTAGTTTCGGGTACTTTGTTTCTGGACCTTCGCAAATTCTACGAGCATATCAGCCATGCCGAATTACTTGCGGCAGCTGAGCAGGCGGCCTTTCCGAAGGCCCTCTTGAGGGCCTATTGCACGGTTAACCGGTCCCCGAGGCGGGTGTCTTGGCAAGGGGCGATTTCCAGAATCGTCTCGCCGAATGGCACCGTGATTGCTGGCTGTTCGGGGGCCACCTCGCTCGCTCGCCTGTTGCTCGTGTCGGTGCTGCGCAGGGTGGTATCGTCGTGCCCAGCTGTTATCCTGAAAAGTGTCATCGGTCATATTTCTTTTCAGTCCATCGGAGGCCAGGCCACGGTGTGCACGGAGCTTTCGTCGGCGTTCAATCTTGTCACCCAGGACCTCCAGGCTAGGGGCCTCCCAACTGCCTGGAACAAGCTGGGGCTTTTGGCGTCGTCAGCCTCCCTGGCCAACCAGCTGGCCTCGTGCTGCCAGCTCCCTGAAGAGGCCAGGTCGTCTGTCCACCGCGACCTTGGAGGGGGCGCGACGGATGGTGCAAGGCGGCGAGTGTCTACCCACCAGGCCCGCTTCCTGGAGGCCCAGGCCAAGGTGGCCAAGGTCCTCGGCCTCCGCGAGGCTGGAGCCCCGACGGGTGGAATCTTTCGGGCGGGCGTCACCGCCAAGGCTCTCTGGGTGGCCAACATCCAGGGGCTGCCTGATGGAAAGCTTAAGAGTTGCGGCTGTCAAAGCCGAGGGGAGGCTGCCCAAGGGATGCTCGCTCGGATTGGCTTCGATGTGCACGCGTGGGGGTTGGCCGCGAGATCCCTTGGTGCAGGTCTCAGCAGACGCGATCAAGACGTATGTTCAGATTCTAAAGGATGGCAGGCTGTCTGAGCGCGTGCTTTCAGTTTTGTTTGCAAAGGCCCAGGAGGTCGCCCAGAGGCCGAAACCTTGGACCCTGGTCAAGGACCCTGTGTCCGCCCTGGTCTTAACCTGCCTGAGGATCGGGTTTGTCTGCCAGGGACCTTTCTCGGTGCAGGAGGCCCAGGGGCAGGTTTGGGACCTCGCCCAGGTCTCGGCCGCTTTCATGGCCAGGCGCGCGCGTTTTTCGGCGCGGAGATCTTCGGACCTAGCGGCCTTGGGCAAAATCGGACCAGGCAAGGCCTGGCGCGCAGAACTGTTTTGGCGACCGCTGAACGAGCTGCTGCATAGAAGGATCGACGGGGAGGGCGAGGTCGTTGGGACGGGTGGTCCGTGGGGGGTTCAGAGAGCAGCGTACGCTCCGAGGACTCCTCATGGGTTCTCATTGGTGCCAGCACAGGCTCAGCGAGCATAGTCCTGAGCTGGCGCCAGAATGCCTGGTGTGTGGTGATCGAGGCACTTTGTTCCATCGCCACTTTCAATGCCAGGCTAGGTCGGCCTGGCGCCGCGACAATCTTCCCGTGCGTGTGCAGCGCGCAGCCAGCAGAGTTTCGACTTGCAGTATCGAGCTGCAAGAGCGGTTTTCCCGAGGAATATTTCCTGACCCTTGCCAGCTTCTGGCTAGGAAACCATGGGATCCTTCCACGGAGTTTCGCGTTGACGGAGGCCTTGCTGGGCCGCTTATGCTTTCCGAGGGGCATGTTTTCTGTGATGGTTCAGGCCTAGATGGACTGTTCCCGTCCATGCGTGTTGCTGGATGGGGAGTCACCGTCTTCGATGAGTTACGCAGGTGTATAGCGGAGTGGTATGGTTCTGTGCCCCCAGCCACCTTGCCTGATCAGGTGGCGCGTGACGGCGAGGACTATAGTGTTTTTTATCGTCTCGAAGCTGTGCGCAGGCGATTTCACGCTGTACTCTGACTGCAAGGGAACGCTAGACTGTTGTAAACATAGAGCGCGCTCGGTCTCCTCGGCCAACCCCAGGGCCCACCTCTGGTTGCAGTCTTGGGCTTCGGGAGGCCTTGAGGGGGCCAGGGTTAAGAAGGTCCCTGCTCACGCCTCGGCCAAGGATGTCAGAGACGGCCTCTTGTCAGATTTCGAGCGCACTGGCAACCATGGTGCTGATAGGCTGGCCAAGCTGGGGGCCTCGCTTGTCCAGCACGATGAATGTGACACCCTCCTGGCCAAGGGTCACCTGTGCCTGGCCCGTGAGGTGTTGCGGTTTATAACGCGTGCGGAAGTTTACTACAGTGAGCTGGGGGTCCACGACAATGTAGGTGCCCAGGGCCTGTCTTTGGTTTCCCTGGACCTCCCCTCGGACCACGACGCTCGGGTCGAGTGGGCTCGGGCCGAGGATGAGGCAGCTGCGCCCCCCCCTCGTGAGGGGGCCCCGGCGGTCCCTGACCCTGCGGCTGCCGCCTCGCTGGAGCGATTCCTGGATAGGGCGTCCGAAGGCACGCAGCCGTGGAAGGCGGGGGGCCACTGCTTGTTAGAGTTTCCTGTGGAGTCTTCGGAGGAGGGAGAGGATCACCCGCCCCTCCTCTTTTGCTCCACCTGTGGCAGCTACGCAACGACAGTCACAGGTTCCAGGGGCTTGCATTCTGGATGCCAGGGCTCGGCTCATTCTTTGATCGGCCCTGGTAAGAAGAACACGTCGAGTTTTTTGAAGCTCAAGCACCCGAATCGGGCGCGACGGCTGGGACCCCCGAGATCTCCTGGGGCTCTGGCTCGCGAGCTTTTCGGTTCTCGGTTCCAGGTCGGAGGTTTGGGGTCCCAGCCGACGATTTGGACTTCGAGAGCCCGGCAGTTTTCGGGAACCGCCACTCTGCATGGCAGACTGTCTCCAGGCTTTTGGGCTGAATGAGGTGGAGGCCCGTGAGCTCGGGCGAGAGTTCCGTGTCCAACAGGCTGCTGCTGTCGAGCTCGACGAAGAATTTTCCTAAGGGGGCCCTGTCGCTGGCCCACGGTGCGCAGCCTATGCCGAGCCGCACCGTGGTGGCAAAAAGGTCCTCTCCGATGGGCCCCCTTAGTGTTTTTGGACCCGTCGTTTTTTTTTTTTTTTTTTTTTTTTTTTTTTTTTCTCTCTCTCTCTCTCTCTCCCTCTCTCTCTCTCTCTTCCCCCCTTAGTGGCGTGCAATCCCTCCCTCCTCCCTGCGTTTCACCCACCCAGTACAGCGCTTCGTGGCCCCAAAGGGAGCTCCACCGAAGGTCCCAGTGGCACCGCCCGCATGAGTCAGCCTCCACCCAGCACAGCCCTTGTCCCCTGCGTTTCGCCCACCCAGCACAGCGTTTCGTGGCCCCATAAGGGTGCTCCACCGAAGGTCCCAGTAGCACCGCCCCCATGCGTCAGCCACCACCCAGCACAGCCCTTGTCCCCTGCGTTTCACCCACCCAGTACAGCGTTTCGTGGCCCCATAGATCAATCATCGAGTGATTTCGCTTGTTCGTTCCTTTGTAGGGGGCGGGCGGAAACCCAGTCTGCATTCATTGCCTCCTTATTCAATGTTTCTGCACACTTCTTCAGACCGATGGGTACGCAGCGGCTCTTTGTTTGTGTTTACCAGGATGGGTTCCCCAGAGCACACCGCTGGACAGCCTGTTTGTCCAGTGGGGTTCCCGGGGAAGGAAGAGAGAGGAGAAAGAAAAGGAGGAAGAGGAGGGGAATTGATTCATCGCTTCGTTAGGTCTGGAAGCTAGCAGCTAGGACAAGGATGGCTGGAAATTGCTTGGAGTGGCCAGAGCTGCGGGCGGAGAGGGGCGGTTGGGGACGGCCCTTGCCCATCCCCCGCACCAGGCACTGAACTCCCTGAACCCTGATGCTGTCGAAGCCTCGGACAGGGCATCTCCACAAGCTCTGTCCTCGGGGCTGCTCTGCTGGTCTTCGCCAGCTTTAATGCTAGTACCTGTCAGCCCACCTTCGCCTCCAACTGGAGGGAGGTGCTGGAGGCAGCTTTACGGTTTATTACTCGCCTTCATTCCCCCCGCCCCTTCGCACCTCAATGCTGCAATGCTGAGCCCGTTCCCTTTCCCTCAAGCTACTGCCATCAAGCAAGCTGCGACACGGGATAAGAGGAGCCAGGAAGAACAAGGAAGGCATGGGAGCATATAATTAAGTGATTTACCCTTTGCAGCTCAGTACCATGTCGCTCAGCGTCATGAGCTGTGCCTTCGGGTAGTGATGTAGCTCTGCAGATCGCTGTAGAGTTTCTGATGCGCCTCCGACTGCTGGAGCGGCAGCTGCTCCTGCTGCTGCAGTCGCTGCTGCTGCAGCTTATCCGCGAGCACCGGGTTGTCGCCAGGCGCGGTACTGGACATCTCCAGTTGTTGCTGCTGCTGATGATGCTGTTGGCTTTCGGTTGCGATATCCAACTCTTCACGTTCATCTTGAACGTGGTGAGTCTGGCCTCGCATTCCGTCGACAGGGCCTCCATCTTTCCCTCGATGTTTGCATTCACGAGCTTGTCAAACTACTCCTGCATGTGCTTGGCAAGTTTCCCAAGTCGAGGTCGATCCCCTCGCAGTCGCCCTTCTCCTCATTGGGATCGGAGGCCAGCACTTTGCTCACAGAGTTGGGCGGGCTTCAGCGTTCCGGAACCTGGAGGCCTTGCCAGGCCTTTTTGTAAGGACCACGCCCTTCTCGCCGCACTCCTCGAGCATGTTTGTCTCCTGCGACGTTGCAGGCGTCTCCGGTCTTGTCGCACACGAGGTGCCCGACGGCCTGGACCTCCTCGATCACGGGAGCGGCAGTAGGCCCGCCGCAGCCGGCTTCGACAGGCGCCGCTGCCCCTCGTGTGCAGCTCCGCGCGCTGCGGCCGCGGCGCAGACGTGCGCCCGCCTGGCGCTCAGCACACCGCGCAGGCCAGCCAGCGCGGCACCGCAGGCCGCCTGGCCTCTGGAGGCAGCGCGGCAAGCGCAGCTCCAGGCTCAGCGCTCGCCGCGGCTCGGGCTGGCGGTGTGTCCATCGGGGCGCCTCGGGCAGAGGCGCGGCGGTGATCTTTGCGGTGTTCGGCAAACTCGGCAATGCCGCGCACAGCGTGAGGCATGCATCGGAAGGTACTCAAGTACGCCGCGGCAACTCGGCGATATAATTTGACTAGCCGACTTGAGCAACAAGGGGCGCAAGCTGCTGGAGCCTACGGGCACCAGCTCCATGGAGTTTTTGGGCAGAATATGGTTCAATTCAGAAAGAACCTCGGGAACTCTGTGGGCCCCAAGATGTCAGGTCGGATGAGGATGAGGATGATGAGGATGAGGATGATGCTGATGATGATGATGATGATGCTGATGATGATAATGATGAGGATGCCGATGATGCTGATGATGCTGATGATGCTGATGCTGATGATGATAATGAGGATGCCGATGATGATGATGCTGCTGCTGATGATGATCATGATGCTGCTGCTGATGTTGATGTTGATGATGATAAGGATGAGGATGATGATGATGATGGGGATGATGATGATGAGGATTCCGATGATGCTGATGATGCTGATGCTGCTGCTGATGATGATGATGATGAGGATGCCGATGATGATGATGATGCTGATGATGATGATGATGATGATTTTGATGCTGGTGCTGATGCTGATGTTTATGTTGATGACGATGATGATGATGGTGATGATGATGATGATGCTGATGCTGCTGATGATGCTGATGATGATGATGATGATGATGAGGATGCCGACGAAGACGCCGAAGCCGACGATGATGCTGATGCTGATGATGACGATGACGATGGTGATGGTGATGGTGATGATGATATGGTGGTGATGATGACGATGATGATGACGATGGTGATGGTGGTGGTGATGATGGTGAGGATGAGGATGAGGATGAGGATGAGGATGAGGATGAGGATGCTGATGATGAGGATGAGGAGGAGGGTGATGATGATGATGCTGATGGTGGTGGTGATGATGATGCTGATGATGACGATGATGCCGGTAACGGTAATGATGATGATGATGATGATGATGATGATGATGATGATGATGATGATGATGATGATGATGATGATGATGATGCTGATGATGATGATGATGATGATGATGGTGACGATGATGAGGAGGAAGATGGTGGTGTTGGTGATGGTGGTGGTGATGATGAGGAGGAGGAGGATAAGGATGAGGATGTTGATGAGGATGACGAGGGCGATGACGGATGATGATGATGATGATGATGATGATGATGATGATGATGATGATGATGATGATCATGATGAAGAAGATGATGATGATGATGCTGATGCTGGTGCTGAAGCTGAAGCTGATGATGCTGATGATGAGGATGGGGATGATGCTGGTGCTGATGCTGATAATGATGCTGACACTGCTGCTGATGATGCTGCTGTTGCTGCTGATGATGCTGATGCCAGCGCTGCTGATGATGCTCTTGCTGATTCTGCTTCTGATTTTGATGATGTAAGCTGATGGTGGATGTGGTGGTGGTGATGGTCGTGGTGGTGGTGGTGATGATGAGGATGATGCTGATGATGATGATGATGAGGATGCCGATGATAATGATGATGATGATGATGCTGCTGCTGATGCTCACGATGATGATGATGATTATGATGATGATGAGGATGCCGATGATGATGATTATGATGATGATGACCATGATGATGATGATTCTGATGATGATGATGCTGATGATGATGACGACGCCGACGACTATGATGATGGTGAGTATAACGATGCTGATGGCGATGGTGATGGTGATGATGATGATGATGGTGGTGGTGATGATGATGATGACGATGATGATGATGACGATGGTGATGGTGGTGATGCTTGTGAGGAGGGGGATGAGGATGATGATGTGGATGAGGAAATGGATGAAGATGCTGATGATGAGGATGAGGATGATGATGAAAATGAGGATGATGATGCTGGTGGTGGTGGTGGTGTTAGTGGTGCTGATGATGATGATGAGGATGAGGATGATGATGATGATGTTGATGATGGTGACTATGATGATACTGATGACGACGACGCCGACGCCGACGATGATTATGGTGGTGCTGATGACGATTCTGGTGACGATGACGACGGTGATGGTGATGATGATGATGATGGTGGTGATGATGACGATGATGATGACGATGATGATGACGATGGTGATGGTGGTGCTGATGATGGTGATGGGGA